CCTCCTCCACCTATGTATGATACAGAAACAGAGAGTGAAGAGGAGTGCAAGGGGAAGGGTAAAGCTGTCGGAAAAAAAAAGCAAAAAAGGAAGAAAAAAAAGCAGGTTGAAGAGTTGGCAGGGGAAAATACAATGGAAGAGGATGAGAAGTCAATGTCGTTCGAGGAGGGTGGGTATGGGTATAACTCTGAAGAGTTGAACACGTCTCCTTCAAGTGGTGCTGAAGAGGATGAAAAGGTTGTCAATCCAAAATTTAATGTGCATGAGGAGTTTGGTCATGTGCACTTAGAGGTAGGAATGGAGTTTGTGAGTCTTCAATTATTTAAAAATGATGTCAAAGACTACAATATTGATCTAGGAAGACAATTCAAGTGGCTGAAGAATGACAAAGTGAGGGCCCGAGCAAAGTGTAGTAATGATGAATGTGATTGGACGATTTACTGTTCGTGGAACAACAAAATGAAAGCTTTCCAAATCAAGACTTTTAATAACATACACACTTGTTGCAGACTTTTTAGAAACAAGAGGGCAAGTAGGGATTGGGTTGCAAAGAAGTTAGAAAAAAGGCTAATGACACAGCCGAACATGACAAAGGCAGAGGCCTACGACCACATGAAAGAGGAGTACAAAGTTCATGTCCATTTGAAGAAAGTGACCAAAGCACTTCAGAAAGACAAGGCCAAAATAGAAGGGTGTGAAAAAGAACAGTACGCAAAATTGAGAGACTACTTAGGTGAGCTATTAAGAAGCAATCCAGGGTCTACATGTCAAATGCAAGTGATCCCACAACCTGATCCGAACTCATCTCCCATATTTTCTAAGTTGTACATTTGTCTGGATGCATGCAAGAAAAGGTTCAAAGCTGGCTGCAGGCCCTTAATTGGTTTGGATGGATGTTTCTTGATAGGATATTATGGAGGTCAATTGTTAAGTGCAGTTGGGGAGGATGCCAACAAAAGTTTCTGTCATTGCATATGCAATTGTTGACAGTGAAACAAAAGAGAACTGGAAGTGGTTTTTAACCCTGTTACAGGAAGACATTGGCCCTCACGCAGTGTTTGGATGGAATTTTATTTCTGACCAACAGAAGGTGTGTTAAGCTTGTTTCATTTCAACTTGCTTTAGTATTCAGCCACATATTTGTTGAATGATTTTTTTTCTGTGTGTTACCTGCTTATTAGTTATTGGTTTTTTTGCATTTTTTTTTTGGTACATTGCCAAATGGTATCCCCATTCAACCTTCTCCGGGCACCATGCCCTCGGGGTACGACCCGTGTGGGCTAGCCCCTCATTGTAACAGTGGGTGCACTAAGCTTCGCAATTAGTTATTCCCCAACCGAAGATTTTTTTTTTGCAAAGATTTTCCAAGAAACTGCTTGAGGCAGGGTTTGATTACATAAACTGCATTTTTTACTGCATTGCTGATGTTAAGTGCATTGCTGATGTTAAGTGCATTTCTGATGTTAAGTGCATTGCTGTTAATGTCAGGGACCAATTAGTCCCCCGTGCAATTTGTCAGGGACCATAACGACCCTCGAGGGAAATTGCCAGGGACCTAATTGATCCTTGTCTATTTAAGTCAGCAACACTTTGTGGCAATCTATATATGTTTTTGTGATACCTTTTTTTGTGTCTGTGTGTAGGGGCTGATTCCAGCACTGCAAGAGGTGATGCCTGGTGCATATCATCGTTTTTGTGTGCAGCACGTTTGGAAGAATTTCATAAAGCAATGGAAAGATAAGGCAATTCGAGCCATGGTTTGGGAGTGTTCAAGATGCACCACTGTCCCCCAGTTCCAGCAATGCATGGCACGGTTGAAAGTAAAGAATGAGGCTGCATGGAAGTACTTGGATGGCATCCAGCCCTCAAGTTGGGTGAAAGCTTATTTCCGCCACTGGCCGAAATGTGATAATATCATAAACAACATGGCAGAGGTATGGAATGCCAAGATCGTTGGATATAGGTCAAAATCGATTATCACTCTATTGGAGGAACTGAGATGCTACATTATGAGGAGGATGGCTGCACATCAGAGGGTGTTAGGTACTGTTCGGGGTAAAATAGCTTCTGCTCAGCAATTGAAACTGGATCAGTTAAAGGTTCTTAGCAATTCATGGACACCCACTTGGACTGGAAATCTGCAGCAAGATATGTATGAGGTCAGTGGGAAAGGTGATAGAGTTGGAGTCAATTTAACAACACATACATGCGCATGCAATGTATGGCAGTTGACTGGACTGCCTTGTGAGCATGCTATAGCAGCAATTTGTCACAAAAACGAGCCAGCCGAGAACTATGTCCATCAATGGCTTACAGTTGATGCATTGCATGCCACATATGAGCACACCTTAAACCCAGTGAACTCGGACAAGTATTGGCCTGCATCTGATGAACCCAAACCTCTTCCACCAAAACTGAAAAGGCCAATTGGGCGACCCAAGAAACACAGGAAGAAGGACCCAACTGAAGACCAAGGGAGCATGACAAAGAAAGTTAAAAGGACATATGAAGCCAAGTGTAGTAAGTGTGGTCAGATTGGACACTATGGCAAGAGTTGTAAGGGGCCACCAGCTTCCAAAACAGACAAGAGCCAAGCAAGACCACAATCTGTGAGGATTGGCACAGACTCAGTAAATGAAATCCTATTAAGTCAAGGAGGCCCGTCAGAAATTGGTAGTTCTCAGGCACAACAAGTCAACTTGAGAGGATGCAGCCCACCTCCTTCAAATCCAGAAGAAGCAAATGCAGTGTTGACTGAAGAGACAATGAAGGCAGCCAGCACTGGCACACGAAGCAGATTTATGCACTTCATGACAACACCTGATTTCATGCCACCAAGGCGATCCTCAAGAAAATGAGCTGCTGATGAAGAAGAACAAGGGAGTAGTGCATGAGCCAACTGAAAATGAGTGGATATAATGCCCTTTTTTTGTACATTCTGGCCATTTTTTTTGGAGGCCTTTTACAGATATAATGTAATCATTTGATGCATGGCCAGGATTGTATTTATAGGCCTCACTTGGAATTTCTATCAGTTGGCTTTTATTTGTAATGCACTACTGGTTTCTAGTTCTAGGAAGACAATTATGTGTAACTGGTTATATTCTGGACATGCATGTTATGTGGCAGGGTTGATGAATGTGATAATTTCATGTCCATTTTATGTTTTTATCATTTAGCTGCCATATTTTTTGGTTACTGGTTTGTGCAGGTTTGTGCTGGCCATATTTTCTGGTTACTGGTTGATGAATGTTGCAAGTTGCCCAAGATTGCAGCTATTATGTGGCAGGGTTGATGCATGTCATAAGTTCATGTCCATTTTATGTTTTTTAACTGAGTTAGCTTGTTGTTGGTCATTTAGCTGCCATATTTGCATTCTAGTGCAGGTTTGTGCTGTGTTACTGATGAAACAGATCATGTCCAATTTTCTGGATGCAGGGACCAATTAGGACCCCAACAATCATTGTCAGGGACCAATTTGGACCCCTACATACTGGATTTCTGATGTCATGCACTTCTATTTTGTTTATCTGGACTGCATTCAAAAGCATATAAGTCAGGGACAGCAAGTGTATCTGATGTAATGCACTACTGTTTTTTAAAATGAGTGCTGCAATTTGTTGATTTGGACATCAACAACTCATGTCCTATAATTCTGGAATCAGGGATCAATAAGTGCCCCATGTACTTTGTCAGGGACCAAAACGACCCTCGAGTAACATTGCCAGGGACCTAAATGGTCCTCGTGTTTTGCAATCAGTAACAAAATATGCATAACAGTATGCAACTTCTGTATCAACAATGTCATGAGTTATGTGTCTATATCAGTAGCAATCTATATCTGTTTGTGATACAATGTAGTAATCTTTTATCCTTCAATCGATGCCTAACTATGCAATAGTCCATACTAAAAGAAGCTTAGCATCCAGTACAGCATTTGACCAAGGCACAAATATATAATGCCATAATATATTAAGGAATCCATTCAAGGCTTTTTTATAATAGGCCATATGATAATACACACAAACAGATTTGAACTAACACATAATTTGTATAATAACAGGAAGGAGTACTCATTACAATTCACTGAAGGAAAAATACATTTGGGTCACTTGTTTTCACTTTTACCACACTAACAACAAACATACAGATCATGATCACACCAACACAAGCACCTAAGACCCTAGCTGACCTATCAACTGTCCTAATTTTTTTGTCCATCCTATCTAACTCCTCCACCATCTTCAGGTATACATCATTTAGTTTTCTTTCCTGCTGATGAAGCTTCATTCCTTGCTCAGTAATCTTCACATCTTGCTCTCTCATCATCATCTCCACATACTTCAACTTGAAGTTCATTTCAACAACATCCAACTCCACAGTGTGAATTCTTGCTTCTTCCAGTTCCATGGGTTCATTACACATGTCATCTACCCATCTAAAAAATTCACAATAGGGCTTCTTCTCCTAAAAAAAATAAACACCATGGTTAGCAAGTTTTCCAACTCAATAAAGGGGCAGATTACAAATTCGTACCTTGAAGTTAGGACACCCAAGGAAAGCCTTGTTTGGGTTCCTCTCAGTTTTGGAGGTATAGACAATACTTTGTCTCCCACATTTGCACCTCCAACCAGTGGTCCTTGCCATTGTTCTTCCCCCCATTGATTTACTCCCACTTGACCCCCCATGCCAGAAGAAACACTCATCTTCTCCCACGCCCAGAAATCCGGTTGATGGCTTAATGTCTTTCGTCGAGTTTCAATCATCAAAGTGCAAACATTCTGGGGGCGTTTTGCTGTTTACAGATTTGCTCATCAATTTGGGGGATGGAGTTTCCGGTTTAGGGTTCGAATGAAGGCATTTGGGTTTTTTTCAATTTTAGGGTTCATTATTTGGGTTTTATCAATTAATTGGATTCAAGTAAAACGACGTCGTGCTTTCCATGGGTGTCCACCGTCGTCGTCCAGCTTTCCACCGTGGAGTCCGCGTCAGCAGATAACGTGCCACATGGGCACCGTTAGTTTGACCGTGATGGAGGAGTTGACAAAAGGACTAATGTGGCCCTTTTTTCATAACTTTAGGGACCAATTTGGTACTTTTATATTGTCAGGGACTAAAATGGATTTTGCTAATATTGCTAGGGACCAAAAAGGGTGTTTACTCTTAATTGAATTCTTGTCCATTGTCTCAGTCACTTAGCCATTTTGTATGACATCACTGCATACGCCACTAAACTCTAGATAATATTCATCCTCTTCATTATTATTATTAGGGGTCTTTGGTAAAGGATATATATATTTTTATTAGGTAAATATATTTATTAAGAATATGGTTAGAAAATGAGTTTGGTAGGAAAATAGAAAAATAAAAAAATAAAAAAAGTTTGGTTGATCGAAATATTACCAGAAAAATTGAGTTAAATTTTGTGAGTTTGTATTTGGTTGAAGTAAAAATATTGATGAAAAAATAGAATGAGATGACAAAAATAACCTTGTAATTAAATTTTGTGCAGAAATGTACTCTAATAAGAAGGATAATATTATCACTTTGCATGTCCACTTCCCCCATTTATCCAGTTTTATTTTGAAATACCACATTACACGTGGTAAACTTGCACAATGTCCTTCTTTGCCTTTTTCACACAAATCATGATTTCTAGACAACATCGTTTGATGAGAAAAATCTTAAAATATTTGTACCAAATGAGGACAACATTGAAATCCAATGAAGAATGCTAGGTATATTTTGAGAAAATCTGAAACAAACAGAAATGTTACTCCATTACTATTAATAATATGTTAAGGTATAACTTCAAAGTAAACGTTGTTTAAGTAAACGTTGTTTTCTCTCTTCCCAACGTGTCATTGGGTATAAATATGAAATACATAAAGATTGACCGGAAGTTCACGATCCAAATGACCAATTTGAACCTATCAACGCATACGACAAAATTTTAATCCATTCTTGTGGGACGAGTAAAATAAGATCATAATATTGTACCAAAAAATAATAATAATAATAATAAACCTGTCTAGCACTAAAGTCAGGATACGAAAAATATCGGCACGGACACGTTCGGACACGCGTTCGACACACAGTCAACATTTGGGATCACGCGGTCAACTCTCTGACACGTTTCGACACGTTTTCCGACATGCAGTCAACTTTTTTGGACACACGGTCAACACTCAGACACGCTAGGACATGCTCAGACACGCTAGGACACGTTTTTTTTAATCTTAATTTTATTTTATTAACTAAATATAAAAAAATATTTTATAAATTAATTTTTTTCTATTATGAAATTTGACATGAAAAATTAACAAGTACGAAAAATTATTTATATTTATATTTATGTTATGAAATTTAAATATCTGATTAGTTATATGACTTATTATAGACTCTTATATGTATTAAATATAAATTATATTATATATATTAAATTTTTTATTTAATATCAAAACGTGTCCCAACGTGTCGAAATATGACATTTTTTAAATTAACGTTCGGCGTGTCGTATCGTGTCGTGTCCCGTGTTAGTGTCCGCACATCATAGCTGTCTAGTTTACTTTCACGAATACATTTTTGGTTAATATTTTTCTCAAGTTACATATGAGATAAATATTTTTTTATACTCACATAATCAAATTAATAATTAAGCTATTATTTTATTTTTTCTTTCTCTTGATGAGCCCCACAATTGTATATGAGTGTTGGAAAATATTACTCTCTTATGCAACTTGAGAAAAATATTATCCTTCATTTTTAATAAAAGAAGCAATATTTGAATTGAACAATTTTTTTATATATATTTTCAAGTAAACCATGAACTGTTACTCTAGGATAATATAATATCATTTTCTTTATCTCTTGGAAGTGAGAAAGTCAGAATTGCATACAGGAAGTAGGGAAATTTCTATTACGCGTATATTTTACTTTCAAAAGGAAGTTTTATTTTACTTTGATTCATATATTTTAAAGTTATTTTCATCTAAATTCATTTTTTTTACTTCTTTTGGACCAGTGTTTTAAAATTTGACTCAGACCGTTGAGTCGACCCAGCTTTCAAATCGGTTAAACACTCGAACTGGTTGACCGAATCGATCCAAAATCGGGTTCAACCGGTGTTGAACCGATTTTATGTTAAATTGTGTAAAATACATACTTTTTACAAGAAATAGAATTCTGACTTAAGTCCCATTGTTTGAGGATCAGAAGGCTTACTACTAGACCACTTTTATTTGTTGGACATAATGTTCATAATTTAATACTTATTATATTATTTTGAAATTCGATTAAACATAGTTGAACTCGGTTGAACCACTAATTCAATACATCGACCGAGTCGATGATCGGTTCGAGTTTTAAAATATTATTTTGGACACATGTACGATGCTACTGCTACACTAAAAAAGTGTTCAGGAAGTAGATTGAAGATTTGAGGCCTGAATCAGGTATTGTTTTCCCAAATCAAATAAAGAAACCGAAGAAGTTTTGGAACCAGGCATTAATAGCCAAAGCTTAGTTGGAGCATCTTTAGTGTATAAGTTTTGGAAGAAATTAATAGCCAAAGCTTGGAGGGAAGTAGGGTTATTAATCCAAATACCTTGGTTGTCTTTGAGGCACTTAATTTTATTTCTTCGTTTCTGATTATAATGGACGTGTAGAAGAATTTAGAGTTCCTGTCACAAAAAATAAGTCAGTTACTTCTCGCCCTTTAGAACCAAGTGAGCTCTTCCTTGATGTAAATAGAGTTGAGCTGCTATCAAAGCTCTTTGTGAAGCCTTTCAAGGGTATTATCCAGTCTTCTCTCTAGCTCTTCCTCAATGCCTTTAAGTCTAGCTTGGATCTTCCTCTTTTGCTTGAGATGATCAGTGAAGGTGGCGTAATGCCAATCTGAAGCCTTATGTTGGAATAAAGATTTTGTAGCAACCCAATCATCATTCCTCTCCCAGCTGGTTTTAACTAATTGCTCAAAATCCTCTTGAGTTAACCAAGCTTCAAGGAATTTAAACTGTTTGTCTCCATCTCTAACCATCCACTCAGGTTGTTCTCCAAGGATAATTGGTCTATGATAAGATCTATTGAGGAAATGATGAGTAACTAATCTGTCCAGGTGAAAACAGGCCCATAAAAATCAAGATCAGCCAAACCACACTCTTCCAAGCAGTCTTGGAATTCTTATATATAGTTCCAAGTAGCTTCACTACTTCCTTTTTTCTCCTAATGGCTGAGGTAGGTGTAAGAACCTGCACCGTTAATTAAGAAAATTAATTAATTAATTATACAAAATTAGGAAATGATTTCATAATTGACCTAATAATTATTAAGAGGCTTTAATAATTATGATAAGTGATTAATAATGCTGAAAGTCGCTTTTCGGAAGAAAAGTGCAGATACCGGTTCTGCTAGTCGGTATAAATGCGTACCGAAAAAGTATCCCGAAAAATTAATGTAAATTCATGATAATTACTAGAATAATATATAGGACTTGTAAAACGAGTTTCAAGTTCAAATAATGAGAACTGGTGCCAGAAAATGATACTGGCTATGAAAAGCGCGTACCAAAAAGGTGCTCCGAAAATTATTATAAAAATATGATAATTCTTGTAAGATTGTGTAGGTTAAGAATCCAAAGTTTGGGATTAAAATGCTAAGTGTAGCAATTAAAGTTAATACTGTGTGTTTTATTGTTAAACCGATATAAATACTCTTCTTAATGGCACACAACCCTAGAAAATAGACTTTGAGCGTGAGTTCTTTGTGGTGGCTGACCAGAAATGCTCTCCTTGACCTTCTTCACAATTTCTTGAGCAAGTATTTACCTTTGATGCTTGTTTCATCATTCTAAACACATGGTGAGGGTCAGAGTTAGCCTTGGGGACTGTATTGTTGGTCGTTTTCTGAGTTAGAGGGGCTGTGTGAGGGAGCTTTGGTGCTGACTTGGTGGTTTTGGGTTGAGAGAAGCCTTGTCATGGCACTTGGAGGTCCAAGTGGTGGCCTTTGGTGTTAAAGAACCAACATTTGTGGTGCTATTTTCATGCACATCTTTGAGTCAGACTTGAGGGGTTGTGTTAGAGCTCCAAGAGCATCTCCATTCTCTGTTTTGAGCTTGTGGTATGATCATCACACTTTAACTTGAGTTCTTTTGCTTAAAAATGGAACCTTGATGCATGTAAAGGTTAAAAGATGATAACTTAAAGTTGGGTAATGTCAAACACACCTAGAAATGCATGTTCAGGCTTCTGTAATCGGTAAAAATGGAACCATTGAAGGATATCTTCGCGAAATGCAGAAACTGCATTCTGTCGCGAAATATCCAGATATTTTCCCGTGAAATATCCGGATATGGATATCCGGATATCCGGATATTGGATATCCGGATATTGACAATAAGATATCCGGATATTGGATATCCGGATATTGTCAGTGAGATATCCGGATATTGTATTGTATATCCGGATATGTCCCCGAGGAATATCCGGATATTCTGGGATTTCGTAGAACAATAGCTGTGCTGTGTGTACAGTAGGCTATTGGGGGTTTGTGGACCTTAGATTGATGAAGTTGAACTTCTGTTTTAATTGAACTAAGTCAGAATCATGTGATTAAGGGCTTATGGCTTGTGTGAAGCCTTAAGACGTAAAACGTAACGAGAAGGCGTGGTCTTAATATTATATGCTTGTGGTGCATGTTTATTGTTTTATTATTGGTCCTTATCAGATTGTGATCTGCTGTGTGTTGGACTTGAGCCGTGTGGACTCTTGGCATTGGATAGTGAGCTTGCAAGGTAAGTTTTTGTGTCCTCGATTTAGCCATGTTGTGGTTCCTCCATGTCCCATGGGGGTATGGTTATATGCATGCTGTATTACATGCTTTTGATGTTTTGAAAATGTTGTTGAGCTGTTATTGCTAGTGCCTTTATGATATGCATGTGGTGTTCCACCTATACGGTAAGCCTGAGTATGTGGTACATACAAGATGGTGAGGCTGTGGGTGAGGTGCAAGCGGTGTTCCTTGTACTACATGTAGGTATAGACGTATTCCTGCATTTCTCTGGCCAGTAGAATAGTGATAAACACACATGACATGAATATCTGTTGCACTGCATAGTTTTGGAACTGGTATTGATATAAATGCTTTTAGAATTGACTCTGGTTCTTCCACACTAATCATCTCAAAATGAGATCCCTTTATTTTTGTATTGTCATTACTTTGATTGTCTTTCGTTGGCTTCAAAGAAGTAGACACAGAGTTGCGGTTCTGGTCCAAGTACTCTCTGGGTTTTTTACCTTTGTTATTTCTCTGGACAATCATCTAGCTGCCTCGGTTTTGCACTTCTGAATCTTTCAAAATCTTTTCTAAGCTCTCTTTCTTTTGAATCATCGGATTATCCAGTTGAGTAACCTCTAGGTGGAGGTGTTGGCTGCATTTCTAGGACAATGATCATGTTTGAGGCCGTATTCACCACAGTTAAAACAAATGAGGTGTAAACCCTCATATGCCACATGAAAGATTCTATCTGCAAATCTGAATTTAGCTAGCAAACCTTTTTTTAAATCAACCTCAACACACACTCTAGCAAATTTAGCTCTCTCAGTAAATTCTTCTATCCCTGAGTTTCCTAATCTGATAGAGTATCTATCAATCTTGATAATTCTACCAAAAAGATTACCTATATTCTTAAGGTGTTTCGATTTGTAGAGCTCGAGGGTCAAACCTGGTATGTGTATCCACACCGCTAGTTTACTGTCGTCATGAGGGTTGAACATGGGGCACCATTTTTGCACAGTGACGTAATGGTCCGCTACAATCCAGGGTATTTCCTCTAGCACATGCTTGTAGTCTTGCTCATCCCATAGCCTTATCAGATAGAAATCATTCTCCAAATCTATAAATTCGTACGCTCCTTTAAGACTCCACATCTTCTGTAGATGATTTATGAGGAAACACATGCTTATTCTCTTCCCTAAGAGTTTGAAGATCAGAGTTTTCCTCCATTCCTTGCAATCTTCCTTGTGCTTTCTGAATGGTATATGGGGCAGAAGGGATCACCTTTGAAGTTTTCAGATCTTCCTTTCTATGGCTTCCTCAAAAGCGTCCTTTTTCTTTTGTTGGGTGAGCTAGTCTTCTTCATCATTCTCAACATATACCCCTCCTCCTTTCAAGTTGTTGTTCACAAGGGATTCTTTGTAAGAGATGACCTTCCTAATCTCCCCTTCTGTTTCAATGGCCTCTGGATGACAGAGGGTCTCTGAGTTAGCCTCCAAATCACCAATCAAGATCTCATTTTCTTTCGATTCACCTTGGTCTCCCATTTGCATATGGTCGTCCATGACTTCATCTTGTATAACAGGCCCTTTAGGTTTCTTCGTGCTTCTGTTAAGGTTATCTTCTTCTTCCTTGGAGGCTGGCCTGGTCTCCCCCATTAGTGAAAAGAGATGAAAAAAAAACCCTAGCAGAGAAAGTTTTCGAGCGCGTGAGATTCACTTTTGACCTTGATTTTATGTATTATTTTCCTTTCAGCTCTATGTATATATCCTAGACACATTGTCGCTGGAAAGCCAGAACCACTGCTCCTCCACCATGCCTATGCTTGTCAAAACCCACCCTACCTCTGCCATGGGGATCGACCTCAGGAAACTCGCTAGCATATACGAAATGTATGTGAATATAAGATAATTTGATTTTGAACATTAGAAGCCTTGATAAAGTGAATTATGTGTTACGTATGTATAAATGTATGTGTGTGTTCGAATCTCTTCAGTACTACCTTTGGGAGGGGTTTAAAGCCTTAATCCTGAACCAGACCCGAAAATCGGATTAGTTGCGAAGCAATGAACTGTTTGAAATATTTCAAAAAAAAAAAAAGTGAATTCTGTACATGCACAAATCACAATAATAGCGAATTCACAAGGCTTGGATAAATGCTTCATTAAGAATTAAGACAAACTAAATACCATTTTTAATGCTTATAGTGTAAAAAATGATAAAATATAATTCACAACTAAAATTGTATTTAATTAATTCTACAACATTTTAACTAAAACATATAACAACGAATTTGAGGTTTCCAAAAAAAAAGAACAACGAAATTGACAAATAATACATATTGTTTAAAACAAATAATACAAGCTAATATAAATAATATACATTAATTAACACAGCTAATAGATTTTACTTAATATATTTTAATTTACACAAACTATTCGAACAAGTAACATCTATTAACACCAATAATAATATTATTGAAGCCAAAAAATTTTGTACATTAACTAAGCTAAATAATATATTTCAAACAAAAAAAATTACTATATTTTTACACCCTACACTTTAACATTTATTTACATGCAATTTCAAACAATTGAAAATTAAAGCTTTAGAAAAAAATTAACACGGCGAATAAGTTAATATGTTTTAAAGGTGATACGAGACTGGAAAAGAGTGGGGGTGGTTGCCCAGAATAATGTGGCCTTAATTCTTATAGACAATAAGATAACGTGCATAAAAAAATAAATAAAAAATAAAAATTGTCGTAAATGTTGAGGCTGTATTTATCATATATTTTTAAAAAATTAATCATTGATTTTTGTTAATCAATAGTAATTAATTATTATAAATTAATAATTAATTAATAAATTATAAGAAATTATAAACATAAATAAGTTGAAACTCCTTTTTAATTTATAAAAAAAAAAAAAACTCCTTTTTAAATTGTTTTTATAAAGAAAGAAAACGTAAATAAGGTCACTGTTCCTCCGCACTCCGGATTAGTCCCATAGCCGGCTCAAAGAGTCGAAGCTCGTGGGGATACCGGAGGAGCCAACTCATCTCAAAGAGATAATTAGGGTTGTTAACTCCAAAAAAGAAAACCGAAGGAAAAGGCAGAAAACGGTGCCGTTTTGGAATCTGATTTGAAAAGTCCCTAGTTCTAAACAAGGGCAGATCTATAGATCGAAACGAAACCTTGGTTCGTAGTGTCTCTCTCGGCGCTTCACTGAGCCGATGGAAGAATTGGAGCAATGGAAGCAACAAATTGGTGAGTGGTGGCGTGTGGCTTTGGACCATCTTCGTCATGTTCCCCCAATTCAGCTCTACGCTGCTGCAGCTACCCTCCTTTTCACCACCATTCTGCTCCTTTCATGTCAGTGCTTAACTTAACTTACCATACCATTTTCCTTCTTATTTATTCTTTGATGTATATTAATTGATTTTTCCCTCTGTTTTGTTGTTGCAGTTCGCTTGTTGAAGCGCGCAAAGTCTAATACCATTCTATTAACTGGCCTTAGTGGTGCTGGCAAAACTGTTCTCTTCTATCAGGTTAACCTCTCATGCTTGTAAATGCAGTTATAACGGTCTTTAATTACGGTTGCAACGGCCTAACGGCCAATTGTTGTGTGGTGAGATACTTATATTATGCATTTTGTCACAGCTTAGGGATGGCTCTATCCATCAGGGTACTGTTACGTCAATGGAACCTAATGAGGACACTTTTGTTCTTCATTCTGAAACAACTCAGGTTACATCTCGGCTTCTTGCACTCAAATACATGCGTCGATTAACATGTTTTTGCACTATGAAGCACCGACACTTTAAAAAAACCCTGACGTGTCGTGTCCGACACTTCCCAACACTCCGACACACTCCCTGACACTCCAACATGCATTATAGAAATTCAAAAAAAAAAGTTTCAAAAGTTGCGTTGCGTTGAGTTTTTAGTTCCAACTATTAGATTCGTTGGATTATGATTACCATTTTATTGAGTTTAATATAAATATTTGGGATATCTTATGTTTCTTTGCAAAATTGATGAATATTATAAGTTTGGTTTCATTTTTTGTAAAATTATTGAATATTAAATATAATAGACACTACATAAATTAAAAATAATATTTAATATCAAAACGTGTCATAACGTGTCAAAATCTATAATTTTTTAGAATTAACGTGTCGGAGTGTCATGTCGTGTCGTATCACGTTTCTCGTGTCAGTATCGGTGCTACATAGTTTTTGCATGTGTTAAAAATTGTGTTCTTAATTGAATAAGCCTAGATTGGGTTTTTTGTCAAGTTAGTTGAGATTGTGTCTATGTCCTTGTTTGTTAATTGTGGAACTAGAACAAATATTGTCTCTTGTGTTTGCTTGACAGAATCGCAAGATAAATCCTGTTCATGTTGTTGATGTTCCGGGACATTCTCGTCTGCGGCCCAAACTTGATGAATACTTGCCTCAAGCTGCTGGCATAGTTTTTGTTGTTGATGCTTTGGATTTCTTACCAAATTGCCGTGCTGCTTCTGAGTAATTCCTTCTGTCCCCAAAGTGCCTTGTTAAATTGTGTTTATATGTTTTTTTTCATTTTTTGTTCCCCTCCATCTTTGAATGAAGTAATTCGTAAGCAATTGGAAGCAAGCATTAATTAACTGCCCTAGTCCTGAGGAAGAAGTGGTGTCAGTAGTGCAGCACACACAAGGGTTATTTATTACACTTGCTAATTTGCTTTTCTTAACAGGTATCTATATGATATATTGACCAAGGGAAGTGTTGTGAAGAAGAAGATTCCGTTGCTTATTCTATGCAACAAAACAGACAAAGTCACTGCTCATTCCAAGGAGTTTATCCGCAGACAGATGGAGAAGGAAATGTATTGCTTCAAAACTCAGTCTTTTATCTCCACCCATTTGATTGTTCATCAAGTACTTTTTTTTTTTTTTTTATAATTATTCATCAACCCAACTCCCTATACCTCACAATGCTGTAATAGCTTAATTTCTGATTGCAAAGTGCCTATCAATTCTACTGACAGCTATAGGACTAGTGATGCTCTGTTAGTCCATATTGGGCACTTGCCAATAAGAGCAAAAAATGTATGGCTAAGATGAGAATGTTAAGGTAAATGAGTCGACATATGAAATGAGGTTAGATTAGGATCAAATGTATTAATGAGAATGTTGGAGTAGCACCTATTGAGGAATATATGATAGAAACTTGTTTGAGGTGCTTTGTTTATGTGAGAAGACCAAAAGAGGCCCAATGTGACAAGTGGAACAAATGGAATGGATTTTGGTGAAGAGGGGTACAAGAAGACAAAAAATCAAAAATAAAACTTCAGGATAAATTTTTGAAAAGGAACTTACTCTAAATGGATTTATTGACAATTTGGTTTCTGATAGCCCTATGGTAACAATGTTTGACGCATGTAACCAGCCTCACCTTGACGGATAAGGCTTGGTTGTTGTCGTATTGTGTGTGTAATACCTTTGCATAACATTCATATGTTCATTCTGTTATTGTTGCTTGAGACTTGAGTCCCATTCAAGAAGTACTTTACAGTTTCTATTATTTATTCTAGTCCTTGTAGCTTCTTCCTCATAATTATTTGTCTTTACACTGTAAATCAACTTATTGGTTTGTTAATCACTTAAAAATATATGTATTATTCAATCTATGTCAGTCTTATTCTTTTCACCTTGCAACACTGTTCTTGACTCTTGTTATCCTTTTACAGAGACAAATTACGGGCATCAAGAAGTGCAATATCTGCAGCTGACATTGCAAACGAGTTCACCCTTGGGGTACCTGGAGAACCATTTTCTTTTACCCAGTGCTATAACAAAGTTACATCTGCAGATGCTTCTGGTCTAACTGGGGAGATATCTCAGTTGGAACAGTTTATCAGAGAATATGTGAAGCCATAGCTGGATATTATGTAGTAAAAAGTAGGGATCACCATGTTGGGATAATTGAAGTTCTAGATAATTGGAAGTCCTGGTAGATGATTGGACTATATTGATTTAACTAAATGCTTAGGTACTTGGAAAAATGATTTACTTTATTAGTTCTTTTACTTTCCCCATTAGTCCATTTACCCTCTTCTATCTCTTCTATTTGTTTTCTGATCTATTTGGCAGCCCTTTTCCTTTTATTCACTTTCATTTTTGCAGTGCTGATTTTGAATCACTTTGGCCATAATCTACGTAATTTACAAGTTATCTTACTAGCAAGAAATAGCGTTAAAATATACTTTGCCCAATGAAGCAAGCATCTTGCCGCTGCTCATCATGTGATTAATCGGTGCCTAAAACCCTGATGAGGAGGCCACATGTAAAGGTCCTCTCTCCCTAATGTGTAAGAAATGAATAATACCAGCATGTTCTTTGCCCCAGCAATTGATGTTGGTAATTAGCATAAATGTTGGTTTTCGCATCTTGATTTTGGGTGCGTAACTTTGACTGTTCGAAGTTCTAACCTTTGATTTGATGTGATTTTATTGCTTTCTCATATTACTAAAAAGTGATCCAACTAAGGTATTTATTCTACACATTTCTTTATGGTTAATTTCTCCTGAGTTCCGTTTATTCTTTCTTTTGGTAATGTACTTGCTATTAGAGTATTGAAGATCTGCTCTTAGTGTTTGAGAATGAAATGATGATAGATGTCTTTATTGCATTGCGAGTTAGACTTCATTGGTAGACCAATTTATCAATATTACCTCGTTTCTTTTAATAATGCATTCTTCATAAGATATACTAGATTGGTAGAGTTGGAAGAGTTGAGGACATACTAGTCCTCATTGCATTGCGATTTAGCGAGCAGTGTTTTTTTTTTTTTTTTGGTGGTTGTGGTCGGAAGAGATATAACAGCTGGTATTATCTAAATCTAATCTTCAAAATGCTTTTGCTAAGCAAAAAGGTAGCTCTCATTCAACCATGAATATAATAGAATGTGTTATCAACGTACAGAACGGGAAGACCCAGGAAACGATGTTGATAACAAGTAGTTCTTCAGCCTCACTATTAAAATAAAGATGCCGTAGGATGGAAAATGCATAAGAGCCACAGCCAAGTACCTGAAAGTCCAATTGGTCAACAGATATGTAAGATCATTTGAACACTAGACTTAATTTACTAAGATTAATTTCATATCCAATTGCTGCGTTCAGTACACAGTAACAGATAAACATGCAATGTTAGAGGATAATGGTTACTTGTTTGCAAGTTTATTAAAAATTTGTCATATTTGAAAACTGTGACCAGAATCTCAACCAAAATTTTGAAGCAATTAGAAGACAATCATTACAGAATGGTGACAAAGAATTTGAGAACATACCATAAGGGTGCATATGGGGATGACAAGTCAAGGAAAGGATAAGGCCACCTGTAACAATGGTTATTAAATTATAAGAGAGAGCACACTCTTGTGTAAAAAAAAAATCAAAACAAGGGATACACGTATTTACCAAATTGAAACACAAACATGGATGATCCACTGAACAATAACAAATATTGATGTCCACAAGACAAAATATGCAAACCGGAAAATTGGAAATCTCTGCATGTATTGAGAATATATAGTTATGAAGTTGAAGTTTTGAACTAGAAGCATTGCCAAAAAAAAATAAAAAAAAATAAAAAATAAAAAACTTGATGATTAAAAAAATAAAATATAAACCATACCAAAACCCAAACTCACCATGCAATTCAATGATGTGTCACCGAGGAGGAAAACAGCATTAATGGTGTGCATACAAAAAACGAACTGCCAAATGAGAAGTGCAAATATTTTAAGATGAAAGAAAGGCATCTCATGGGTAGCAAAAGACCAAACCTATTAAGAGCTAAAATTTAACATTATATAAATTTATAAACCCATTCACTTTTCTTCAGCCTCATTTGCATTATAGTAATTAAGGCATTTCAAACAACAGGCACCCATTAACCACATATTTCATTTGGTAGTTGATGTTTACCAGCAAGCTCAAAAAATATGCTTTGCTGTTGATTACATTTTCCAGTTGAATATTAAGTAAATGAAACAAAGAATTAGTTAAAATAAAAATTCAATAAAAAAGAGAAAATTTTGAGTACTGTTTTCTCAAATTTAAGGAAAAAATGATGCAGTTTCTTTCAAGGATATTGGAAGACAAACCCTATTGTAACAGTGATATTTAATGCAAATCTCAAATTGCTTTATTTTTCTACAAATATAAAACTAGGTGGATGAGCCAAACACTCTCCAAAATTTGTATGATATCTATATATTAACTATTAAGTATAACTATGCAAGCTTGGGCTTGCAACTAAGGCCCATTTAAGAGGTTATATGTCTTTATTCTTAAAGTGAGACGAATATTAATACCCAAAAAAAAGTGAGATGAATATTATCTCATTACACTTAAATCTCACGAATATGACTCTCTCTTATTATTGAAAAAATTTCTCCACCTATAAATATCCTTCGTTACTATTGAGGGAATAAATTTTTTATGCTACTATTGCACCAAAAATTCAGTACATCTCACTAATAGAAACATTACATGTCAATTAAAATTCTCTTTTCTCTTTCAAATTCTCTTTCTCCTCTGACATGTAATGCTTCCATTGATGAGATGCACTGAATCTAGGTGCAACAGATGTACCAAAGATTTATTCATATTGAGGCACCTTTTACATATTTACTCAATTTGTTATTACTCTGCCAGAATACAGCCACAAGAATCACCATGCCCAACTCGTTCCCCTTATTCTTAGCCTACACCTGAGATCCACTCAGGATGACTCTCTCCTTGAACTTAGGTTTATATCTCTACCTCATTATATCATTGGCAAAGAGGAATAGATCATAAGCTATCACACAAACAATTCAACTTCCCAAGCAAAAGTATAAATGAGGGACCAAGGACAATGTTTATTATACTTACAAAATCCAGATTGTAATCTTTGGATGTCAGAAATGGATAAATGATGAACCAGAATACAAAGTCAGTGAGTACTACAGCACCTGCACAAGTCTACATATTTAAAAGAAAATGAAAAAAAAATGAAAAAATAAATAAATTATCAATAGATTGCCTCCTGAGTTTGATGAAACACACCTAGATTATCAAAAATTAGAAAAGGTGAAAAATGAATATTACAGCATAAAAAGATATCTTAAAATCGATAAATTCTTTTGTAGACCATGTATACATAAGTTGTCTTGTCTACACAAGTATTTTTCCTTTAAAACACATGGCTGTAACAGAGACATATCACAGGATTTTGCAAACTAGTGATGGAGTGCCTAAAGAACTTTCTAACCATTTGTTCAAGCTGAACATTTGACAACCATGGATTGCCTAAAACACTTTCTATTTCAAATATCTTTCTCTCAGCTTCAAGGCAACACTCTTCAACCATATCCAATTTCCTTTTACAAAATTGAAAAATATAAAGAACCATTCAACCCAATACCTCTCACGCCTTTGGGCTTAAAGCGTGGATATTATACAGGTTCAATTTTTGGTTTACCTTTTGTGCTTTTATTTTAATTTCACTAGAAAGTGGGGGTGGTAGGAATCGAGCTTGTAACCTTGTGGTCACTTAAGTTCTGATACTGTGTAAAGAACTATTTTAACCCAAAACCTTAAGGTATTGGGTGAGGGTTTTTTTAATGGTTTATATGATTCCCTAACAAAAAAATTTGTTACATGACCTGACTAAACAATATTTATGTTCAAGGAGAACTAGTAATTTTGTCAAAGATAAATGAGAACTTGGACACCATATTAGTTAAAATAACAATATCTTGCAGGAAAAAAAAAAACTACACCAATTAAACCATTAAATAGAATCACCTGAAAAATTATTTGAAAAATGTAACCCCATACACCAGCAATTTTCCGAGCATGAGATTCCTGATCTGGACTCTTGGGCATGTTAGGCATATCTAAAGCTCCATCATGAGTGGAAACCACATAAGTGCCTAGTTCTGCGTCTAAAGATGCACGATTAACTGTGCCACTCCCAAATTTATTGTGTATAAGGAAACATCCATATAAAGAGAAAGATGATCCAAGCTGAAAGTGAAATTTAGAGCACAAGTCACTTAACATTATTTTCAAATAAAAGATATATTGCATTTTCATGCCAAATTTTTTTACTACAATATAACAAGAGTCAGAAATGTGAAGTGTTACCCCAAAGTATATGGTGAGCAAAATAAAGGTCCATCTGCACAACACACAATAATACAATCAGAATATTTATAAACAAAAGAACTGGCTAAAAAAGCAGCATTTCATTGCAACAATTAATAATTTGAATACCCCTCATGTATTGAATACCCCAATAAATAAAAAATAACATAATAAGCGCTTTCACTGTTATTGTTAATAAACTCTTTCCATTGTTGACATACGAGTCCTGCCTAGTATAAAGAAACTGTTCTTCAAAAATCCTAAAACTGTATCTAAATAATTATATAACAAAGTCTATAGTTTAATAATTGAGGTGGTAATGAAACAACTAGTGAAACTTAAACATATAAAGAAATAGTGTGGAGCCTTGGACAATTTTTTGTTATTTCAAGAAAAAGAATGTGTATACATTGTTCAATCCATATCATTGAAGAGTTGCATATAAGACTAGATTATACTCATATGCTTAATGTAGCTTACTGAGTGTAGAAGTAAAATATGCCGCCTCCATCAGCAGCCCCATTGGCGATGATCAAAGCCAAAAGCACAAGAAAAGAAATTATTCTATAAATAAGCAGCCAGGAAGGATCAATTCCTCTAAGACATGTATTCCATGCTTCATCTTCATATACCAATTCAACAGCTTCTCTCTGATTTTCTCCCCTCTCAGGTGTTGGTTTATTCAACCCTTCATGCTTCCATATTAAAAAAGATGCTATAGCCATGGAGGCTATGATCCATATTGCACAGATGAAGAACCTCCAATTCAGCCAATAACTTGGGGTAGTAGTATCTGATGTCATTGTGGGTTGCCAAGTATGGCCCGAGGACCCTGTTAAGAAGCTCATAGTTATATATGTTTGCTTCAGTAATTATATGTTGCTGGTGTGTTTCTTAAAACTCTATGGCTATGCACATTGGTGGGAGCCTCGTGCATTGGATTACCCTTTTCAATGATTATTAGTCTAACAGCACCTAAAACTCTTAGTTCCAACAACAATGGAATGGAAAGAAACTTCAAAAATTCAGCACAAACATCAGAAAGGACACTGAAATCCCAAATGCATAAAAAACTAACAAACCCAGGATTGTGACAAGGAAAGTAGTCAATTCTAGCTGATGCTAAAAAAAAGAATGCATTATCAGCTACATCACAAATGCTATCAAACATTCATAACTGAAGTAGAATTTTGATATGATTGTTCTTATTCAGGGTATTGAAACTCAAATGCATGAGAGAATGAGCAAAAACTAAGAGCTCAGAGACATAACAAGCTTGCTCATTAATTTTTGAAGCCAATCAAACTTAGATTCCTTACTTGAGATGGGTTTCAATCAAAAGTCCATAAAGTTCAATACTTCATCCAAATGAAGAAAAAATAAAATATAAAAAAAGAAAAAAGAAAAAAAAAGAAAAAATGGGCATGATTCCTAATTGAAAGAAAGGGATAGCACTTACTGTTGACAAGTAAAATTCAGAGAGCAGAAGATGCTTTGCTTTATGCTTTTATGTTTATCTGTGTATGAAGGAGAAGAGAGAGAAGAATCAGGTTGTGTGAACATTATTATATAACCTCCAGAAGAAGAAGGAATTTGCTAATAGAAAAAAAGGGATATGCTTTTTGGGTTTGTTTGTTGGCTGATCCCAATCACCATATTGGGATCACAGTTACCAGAAGAAGAAGAGAAGATTCATTACTATAATATAACTGAGGGTTTTATAAGAGTTATGTTGTAGGAAAAGTGATTGTGTTATGTTATAGAGATTCGTTTTGCGTGCCGAAGTTTTTTGTTTTTTGTTTTGCTGCGGGCCCCACAAAATGTTGTGTGTGTAGAAAAATTTTTGTGGTCATGTTAAATGATAGATGATAAACCCTATAACTAACTAGACAAGACACAAACAGAATACCTTTTTTTTTTCTCTCAGTATCCTCCATGATTATTATTTCCTACTTCCTTTTTAAACTTAAATCAGTTTCAACGTTCAAGTTTGTATAGTTTTTGTCATTGCGTGTTTTTCAATGTCTTGTGAATTTTTCTTGCTTTTTATTTATTTTATTTGAGTTTCCTACTTTCCTTGGAATCTTCGACGTAATCGTGTAAATAATAATAATACAGCACTTAGAATGTCAAGTTTAGATAATGAAAAATAAAAAAACATGAGAGGATTTTTTTTATTCTCCATTTGATTTTTTTTCTATTTAACGATTATGATTTAGTTGAAACTAATAATTAATTAATTGATATAACTCAAAAAAATTTCAACTATTAGACAAGACAGAAATCAATGATTGAGATAAATTTTTTTAAATATATAGATCTTATTTCTATTATTAATAATTAATTTTACTTGCACCTAACAATTTTATAAACTAAGTCAATAATATGATAAAAAAGTTAGCTTAAAGAATGATAGTATTTACGACCTTATAAATCTCAATCACTGAATACAACGATGTATTATGTATTACCGTCAGGTTCCTATTGATCCATTGTACTATCTCCAAGTTCTTAGAAACATTTTTTTTTTCTTTAGTGCAATAACAACTGATGTGACAGGTACCTATTGATCCATTGCACCTGCACCCAGTGCCCTAGAATTTTTCCCTAACATAATATTGATAAGAATACACCTGTGTAAGTAAGATTAATACATATGGGTGCTGCCCCTCATGAGCTGCGAACTTGAAAGTGTTATGACTCATGCCACATCTTTTCTATATCACTTTTTTTCCCCTCCAACAAGCGTCTATAGGACTTTTGAATTTGCGTAATACACTAGCGGGCGGTTGACAGAGGATAAATTTTTTTTTGTCTGAGAATCTCAATTTTTAAAAATATAATTTTTACATTCAGTCTACGAAAATATTCAAAAATTTAAAATTTAAAAAAAATCAATTTCTCAGAAATCCTACTAAAAGCCACGTACCAAACACCCCCTCGTTTTAATTGAGGAAGGGATATTTGAGTGAGGTGAGAGAATGGAGAGTATTGAGATAAGATAATAGTATTAGTGTATGAGGAATGAAAAGATGGGAGAATGGCAGGGGAGCTGCCACATGGCAGAAGGAGACCAATTGAGTTACACAAACTTGCTCAATACAATGAGCAAAGTCAAAGTTGCACATTGTATTAAGTGATAGACTTTTTTTAAAAAAATAAAAATAAAAAATTTGTTCAGCAAGAGACACTAATAAAATGTTTGAGAATAAAATGAACACGTGGTTATTTACATCTATCTATTTTCTGTAGTATTAGTAATTTTACATTTCATGCCTGCTATTTTGCTTAATACATAAGCTCTTCAAATTGTCTTATACATATATATCAAAAAATGTTTTTACCCCTATTCACTTGGGTTCAGCTTTTTGATAATCGAATCAACAGGTAATGATCCGGGTTGAGCTGATGTGTCCACTATATCATACAATTCATCGTCTTCATCATCATGGTAGTTATCATAATCATCATCATCATCCTCATCCTCCTCAGTAGGTAAGTTGTCACTAGAATAACTATCTTCTGTACCGTCTTCAAAGTTAGCAATTGAACCTTGAGTACCATTTTCATTACACAAAGTAAATGCTGGATAGGAGTGCTCTGTGGCTTGTGAAATAGCATCAAATTCCTCTACCTTCTCTAAGAGAGCATCAGGACCAAGATTAAACTCATCCAGCAACAAAGCTTTGCATGACTCAATTGCACGCTTCCACAGAGACAACATTTTTGGGCTTGTGTTGACCATGTTGCCATCATGCTTACATTGATTATCATCAGTCTCGCCTGATTAACATTTTGAAAACATCACGTTGATATTGCATAGTCAATGTTATCAACCAACGATATAGAACAAATAGACAAGAAAAAAGCAGCATACACGGCAGCAGAGGGAAAATATCAGTTCTTGTAGGCTAATATTGTAAAATACAAAAATTCAAAGGTATATGCATATTAGAAAACTGCGGTTTGGTATACAAGGCAGCAGTTAAATAATCAACGTGGGGTAAGGGAAAGACCACAAAACGTAGTATGTAATTTTTAAGGCTTTCCTAGGAAAATTGTTATGCAGTCATCATATTTGTAACTTAGCAGACAAACAGAAAGGAAACTCATAGCAATGGTAAAATGAGCTGCCTTGTTATAAGAAGTCAAACATAATTGAGTTATTGTCGAAGAAATTTCAAGGAAATTTCATTTGCTGTAGCTCCCCAATGGTAAAATGAACTTGTGTTCAACTCAAAAACAAAAAGCATTAGTAAAACTTCTTTTTCCTACACTTTTCCCCAAATATCACTTTATAAAGGTGCCCAAACAATTGTATTATGACTAGCTTCTCCAAAATATAAAATCAACTAAACTAAAGGAAAATTCATAAAACCTCAATGCAATAATACATTTCTAGAATATATCTTTTTGTTCATGGCCATTACTTAAATTTGTATCATAAACTCCATCGTTGAAATCCGTAGAGAGAAAAATTGAGTACACCTTATCTTTTTTATTATCAGCTGGGGAATTGCATCAAACATGTCCAAAACTCCAAATCTGTTTTAAGAACAAACCGTTTCTCTTCTGAAGCTGAAATTGCTTATGGTTGGGAACTCTCATTCTGGTCTCTTCCTTCCTCTTTATTTAGAATATTTCATACTATACACACACACACACATACATATATTATACGGTACAAGAATTCAATAGGGATAGGACGTTCAAATATAAAATAGTCCAACCAAATTTTTTTCTCTAACACATACCTGTATTGTCCAAATACCCTGTAATTCCAGCTTTTGTGGGAATAAAAACTGGAGGAGCTTGCGGGTACCTTGATTTCCAATCTTTGCCCCTCCACATCAATATCTGTTCATCATCAAAAGACAACAGCACACAAGGAACCAAATCCTGCCAAAACAAGAAGATTAAAATACAAGCAACACATGGCAATGGCCTGTACTGATACGTTCTATGGAACAAAGATTTATCAGGGGCTTTTCAATTTTAAATTCTAAAGCATATTGTATTGCAGTAACACATCGTAACAAGTCCCCCCATTTCCCGAGAGCTGAAACATAAAGAAGTCTGCCAACAATAGTAAGCATTGAGCTTTGTCATAAGCATAGATGATGAACTATATTGGCAGTGAAAAGCAGAAAATTCTATTGATCTTTTCCTAGTTAACCATAAGGGTGCTTTCAAACTGTTGAATCCTCAATCACGCACTTCGTGTGAACTTAGCTTTTGCAAAACTAAGCAACTTCAAAACATTAATTTAAAATGTTATACTCATTCATTATTTCTGTTATAATCTAAAATGTTCCTTGTCAAACCAAATTCTTCCTTTGCCTTCCTGAATTGCAGATATGCTGCAAGTGAAAGGTCATCACAAGAATTGCAATCATCCTGATAGGTCAATTTTGAATTTCATTATTCTGAAATTGGTATTACAGTAGCTTGTAGCGACTAAATCCAATCATATAATTTATCCATAAAAAATATTCCAATTATATAAATACATAGAGATAGACAGCTTGCCAACTGCTTCCACCAAATTTAGTAAATTGCATCGCAAGCCAAACTGTGCATACCTTGATAGAACAAGGAAAAGGTTTATATTGGATAAAGAACAATCACTTCAGATTGAATCTAATGTTTTCATTTCCTAAGCTTGTATATTTTTCTCATTTCCTTTGTGCATAAATTGACTTCCTTCTACACTTTGAATTTAAATTACTAAATATTTACCTAGCACGGATATCAATATTGTTTGTGTCAGGCATAAACAGGTTAAAAAAAGAGAAGAAGCTTTGTACTAAAAATAAAAGAAGAAGAAGCTTTTTATCTAGATACCTTAAGTTTGGCACCTAATCTCTTGTAATCACTAGGATCCAATCCCTCGCAGTCAATCTTCACCAATGGACTTCCTTCAAAAGCATCTCTGACATCCTTTACAAGGGAGGTGTATACTCCATTTTTGGCTGCAACATGATAGAAGTAAATTAGAGGTTTATATTTACAACTTGTGTCTTCAAAGAATAAGTGTAATTAGCCCAAAAGAAGATGTGATATCAATAATAAATTAATAATTCCAAAATAGAAAAGAGTACTTTCCAGAATAAACATTCAGATTAATAAAAAAAAAAAAAAGCAAAACATAATGACAGCTTATCCTTTCTATTTTAATTGATTTTGATCATCTTTCCTCCATAGCAATTTTGAATTTTATTCTTCAACTCGTTTTATTGCAAGTTCGATTTTCATTATCTTACTCACTCCACTAACAATTAGATATTCCTTCTTAACAAGCTCATCTAGAAGTCTAAACCATCTCATATGATCAAATCATTTATTTGGATTGTGATACTTAATAATATTAATCGTAATGACATGTAGACTTGAAGAAACCACACAGCTATGAATGGAACCGAATTCAGCCAACCTTTTAAAATACTTAAACCTAAAGAATGAGTTTAGCCAAAGTCTTGCCTCCCCTTCTGTGACTTCAATTACTCTCTAGGAAAGACAAAATAAAGACAAGGTACATGAAGTTCCTTCATGCATCGTGAGTGTGTGTGCATGAGAAAGAGAGATCTGAAAGTCAAGGTGGATGGTTACCTAATTTACATATTGGCAACAGGCTTTTTCCTTTCATCCGTAACTCATCAGCTTCAGCTTTGGTTAACCCTCCTGGAGCATCTTGTATAAGTTTTGGGTAAACAGGAGCAGCTGGCTTCCAAAGCATCACTGGATACTGTGGACGAGTTCTATAGTTGTAATTTCTGCCACGGAAAAGATAAACTACACCACCAACTCGATGAATTATTTCCCCCCCTGTTTTCTCCTGTCATAACATATAAAGACTGACTTCAAATCAAACAAAAAGTTTTACTCAACAATCAACTTCCATGAATGGTTCATAACTAATCTACTGCTCTTGTCAACATTGTGACTATGTAATGAATCTATATATCAATCTGACTATGTAATGAAGAGTTTTCCTTTCAAAATTAAAGACAGAAAAGCAATGCCTAAACTAGGAAACAGAAGACCTCAAAACACTTATATTCTTATTATTTTAATAAAAAAAAATGTTGGTGTGAAAAGAAAAGACAGGCTACAACAGCCCTTCAAAGCCAATCTCCCTCATAAAATAAAAGAAATTTTCTATTCAGCTCATGGGTTTCATGACAACTATATGCATAAAAATATACAGCATTTCAAGCCTTGTGACCACCCAGCAAGAGCATCAGTCATCACCATGTACATTTCAACAATTCAAATGGGAACACCACGAGGTTAAAAGTAACTCTTGATTCCCTACTTGGTTGTATGGCCAAATCATACGCGAACAAGTGCTAAACACAAGTATCTACAATTGGTGATCTTTGAAATCAAAACACCATCTATCTAAGATTCATTCAGATCAAAACTTTCTTATTAATATATTTTCATTTCCAGCTCAAAAACAGGTAACCATATGCACACTGACTGAACATTAAGATATTTTAAGATAAGAAGACAATAATCACAAACCACACAAGATTAGAAATCCAGTTTGAACAAATGAAAAGAAATACCTCAATATGATGGCAAACATTATCCATATCTACAGTCGGAACACCTTTACAACGAACTTTACATACACGGCTACGCTTCCAGTGCGAATGTATCAACTCCAACATGTTATGCGTTAAACCATCCCTCCCTAGACCATCAAATTAAACACTATTAACACAGTCCTTAACCTTAACTTATCATCATGAATAACAAGAAGAAGAAAGCAACACACTCAAAGGACCTGCATTATATATATATATATATATATATATATACTTTTAAAATATATTAAAATAAGAATGATTTAAGGGATAAATTATTCTACCTACCATTTTTTCTGTCTACTTTTGCCCACCACCCTTCAATACTGTTAGATCAGAATTTCAATAAAAACAAAAAATATAGTTGAGATTCTGATCTAACTATGTTGAAGGTGATAGACAAAGGTACGCAGAAAAAATAGTAGGTAGAATAACATATCCCGTGATTTAACTATATTCTTATTGTTATTCAATTTTTATAAGATTTAAGAAAAACTATATCAATCTCAGTAAAAAAAAAAAAAAAACTCACCGAGATTAACCTGGCGATTATAAGACAACATAGGCTTAACAAGCATTCGAATCTCCCAAAACTGAAGGGGCTCCCCAAGAATCTCTTCCCTAGTCTTACCCTCTTGTGGATACTTCCCAAGCTTAAACGGCCCTGGCATTTCAACGTGCTTCACTCCCTTCGTACCGGCAGGTGGAGGATTGAACGAATCGAACAGCGGAATCTTCTTCTTCGAGCTCTTCAACGGTGCTTTTCCGGTCCACGGCCTCGGCATCGTCGGCGGCGCGAACGGCAGGAACGCCGGCTCCCGAATCGCCAGCGGCTTCACCTTCGGCGTCTCCGAGTAGCTGTACTGGAACTCGAAGGGGGCGCCGGGGAGAATGTACGAGACGCCGGACTCACCGATCACGACGGAGCGGTCGCCGTCGGAGGCCATGACGCCGCCGCCGTCCTTGACGGGCTTGTGGTACTTGGAGTTGCGGTGGTATTTGAGGGCAGGGTTCGGTGGAGCGGGTTTTGGTGGTGGCGGGTTTTGGCGTTTCCGGGGAGGTGGGTATTTGGGGATTGGGATTGGCGGCGGAGGGGTGGCGGTGACGGCTGTAGCATGGTCGTGAGGCGGTGGCGTTGAGGGTAAGGAGGAGAAGAGGTTCCTCCCAGGGAGTGAAGAAGATAACGCAACAATAACCATGGATGTTGGGAATTTGAAGCAATGTGTTTGATACAAATGAATTGAGGAATAGGTGTCAGTGAAACCACAAAAGTGATGGAACGTGATAATGTCTGGTTTTTTCAGTTGCTCCCCATAGCGCCATCCAAAGATATTTTTTTTATCATCATTGTTTTATTTATTTATTTATTTTTTTTTTTTGAATATAAAGGAAATAGATTACAAAACCGGGCAAATTCTCGGATGAGAAGTGCCCTTCATTTTTTGGTCATATAGAAAGAGACCAAGGTACAAGCCTACAAGGCCAAGGAATTATTATTTTTAATATAAATGACAATATTTTGTTTATATTGTTTGATAAATTAATTTTATTTGAAAATTGCAAATGATATGTGTCTCTCATAATCACTTAAAAGTTTCTTTTCATTATACGTTTTTTTTATATAAATTGGTAGTTTTATTTTATTTTATGTGTTTTGACTATTTTTGTTACAAATTAAAGAGAAGCCCCGAAAACAAAAACAACTTGGGATATGTTAGAATCCTACAATATATCATTTTTTTTTTTTGGTAAATAAGGAGGGGCTAAAGACCCCAAACACAAACTCAGTTCAGAAACACCTTACGAGAATTACAAATCAAAGAAAAATCAGTTAAATACAGTGACAAAATCTCAGGGAAAGGGGAATAAAAGACAATAAAATTATTCTCCAAATGGCAATCCAATGGATATTTAGACAGCCAGTCCGCATAGCCATCCCTAAAATCTCGAATGTGAGTCACCAAACGACACTCTCGAGCTGCTTCTCCACTCTTGGTGAGCAAAGTGATCACTGAGCTAGCATCACTTTCTAACAAACAACGTCTCCAACCCCCATTCCAAGCCATTTCAAGACCTTTGAGAACACTCCAGAGTTCAGCTACAAAGGCTGAACATTTACCTATGTGATAGGAAAAGTCTTGAATCCACTTACCAGTTTCATCCAATGTTATTAAAATCGGCCCGGTCATTGAGTCGGTCGAAGTATTGGGTCGCTGATTCAATCAGTGGGTCACTGGTTCAACCGCTTGACTCGGTAATTATATGCAATTTTATAACTTATAATAAAAAATTATAAACATACTCAAATATCTAAAAAAATTGATAAAAATTTCAAATATTTTAATATAAAAAATAATAAATCTCATATTATTATCCAATAAAGGATCAAACAAAAATATAATAATCGTGATACGAGGCTTTAGGTTCAGAAAACGACATCTCTAACTATAAATAAAATCAAAATTTTCTAGATAGTGCATAATTGAGATAATATTAGTGTTGTAGGTAGATAACTTATGTAAGTCAATAAACAAAAAAAATTCAAATATATTCATTATGATTTTTTTTGAAAAAATAAATAATTTAAATTTTTTTTGGGACCGGGGCGGGTCATCGGTTAATCGACCGGGTCATCGATTTTCATGAAAACCGGCCGGGTCGGACCGGGTCACATCGATTCTGATGCATGACCGGTCCGTTGCTTCAACCGAACCGATTATATGACCGATTTACTGGTTCCCGGATCGACCCGACCAGATCGGTCCAGTTTTAATAACAATGGTTTCATCCCTCATAATTTCCCCACAGCATCTCCACCATTAATTTTGGCCTCCCCATCTCTGTTAATTTTAATCCAGCGAGTTCCTGGAGGTTGACAAACCACGTGTATGTACACCGGTCTTCTATTAGTCCTACGACCAACATGACACTTCAATATATCATTTTAACTATCAGTCATTTATTATTGTTGGTTCAAGTGCTAAAGAATTATTCTCCTTAACTAGAAGTCTCAAATTGAATTTTAGAAATGATTTTTTTTTTTTTTTGGGAGAGTCGTCCCTGTATAAATCTTACAAGTTACAATGTTTGAACCCGATTAACTCAATAATTGATGAATCAATAGAAAAACCAAAAATTACATGCCCTTTTAAGAATTTGTTTAATTATTCTAAATGTAAAAGCATACATCTAAAATTCATTAATAAATAATAACTAGTCTAGATTGACATAAAAACTAAAAAAAGTTTAAATTTAAGGGCTTGTTTGGAGCACCTGATAAAGAAGATAGGATAGAATAACTTATTATATCATACTTTTATCTCTTGTTTGGTGAGTCAGTAGGATATGATTAGCTTATCCTATTGTCTCATTTTATCATATCCAATACATGATTTCTTATTCTATGACGGGAAGTTGGGTTAAGATTCAACAGGATAAGATACCAATATTGAATACCCAATATATCCTCACGCTACCCAATATATCCCCCACGTTACCTAATATATTTGTATTTATTGCATTGTATTTTGTTTTTTATTTCTCCTTTCTCTTTCTAGATAATCTTATCATATTGTTAATCAAGTGCTCATCAAACACAGGACATGATATAGGCTTATCAGCCTCATATCATATCTTACCCTTATCAGCCTCATATGAGATCGTACCCTTATCCTATCATGTCCACCAAATCAATAATTCAAGGTTTTTTTTATCTTATTTTGCTTTTTTTATATTTTTTCCTTAAAAACAGAAGTTAAACCTTTTTTTTTTTTTTTGGAAATACAAGAGAAGTTAAACCTAGCAGTTCTTTACAAATTTTTGAAAAATAAAACTGTTTTTTATTAATGTACAAAAAAATATAGAATAGTTTTTCATGAGAAGAGCTCTCAGCCTCTCGTTTCTAGTTTTTTTTAAAGGGTTTCTCTTTTCTTTTTTTTTTGGAGTTACCCAACCCTAATTACCTCTTTGAGGCGAGTTGGCTCCCTCCGGTATCCCCACGAGCTTCGACTCTTTGAGCCGGCTATGGGACTAATCCGGAGTGCGGGGATCAGTGATGGCTAAGGATTTCTTTTTTCTAATATCACATGAGATATCATCTCTCGTGTCATAAATAAAATAAGTGGTGGAGCCCACCACTTGTTAAAAAAGAAGAAAAAATAAAAAAAGACTGCACGATTTTCGATGTCTCATAACATGAGAAAACTATCTGCTATTACATGAGAAAATGATTTCCCATTTTTAAAAGAGCATATATTTTACTCGCATGATCATCTTTCCCAATGCAGGCAAAGTAGGTATCATACTCAACCTTGCTAAATTTATTGCGTTCTATGATCTATATGTCACCTTACTCAACATTGAATTATTCGTTTTGGTGACATCAAAACTCTTTTAACAAGTAAACTTATGTTCCAATTCAAGACAATTCCTAATTGCCTCCATGTTTGATGAGTCTCTAATTTACTATGTATTAAGGGTCAATATGAGTGTGAAATTGATTTAAAAGTAATTAAAAAGTATGATAATTATAATTAAATTGTTATTTTATTCTCAATAATATTCTCATAAGATTTCTGATATTTTGCAGTAATTTCAACTCAACAATGAGATAAATTGGAGATATCAAGTAGAGTTGCTTTGGATTTATGAATTATTGAAGATCTTATCAAATCTTCGTTTAAATATTTTTAAGGAAAATTTTCCATTAAATTAAAAAGAGGAAGATTTGAAGGATTTGGTCAAAGATATGATTAGAAGATTTGAAGGATTGATTCAAAGATATGATTAGATATTCTAGTGAAGATTGTATTGAAGATTTGATCAAGATTTCTAAGTAAAGCATAAACTCTATAGACAGAGACCCAGACCTCATAGCAAATAATCTTTGGCTGGAGAGAATTCTTGGAGGCTCACGCTGGAGATCAGGATTCCGACGGAGTTGAAGACCGGAGATCATTGATTCTTCTTCTTCTTCTTTATTGCTTTTATGAATTCTTTTTATTATTTTAATTTGTTATAGTCAGCTATGTCTGGCTAGTTTATTTTTGTAGTTGGGATCACGGACCTAATGTGAATCCTTTATAATTTCTGTATTGATATTTTATAAGTTAATTAGTTAGTTTGTTTTATTCTACCTGGTTTAATTTTTCATATCCTGTTTAGAACTGATCACTCTAAATTATAGGCTTTGAGGGTTAGGACTCACAATAGACATATTGGGGTTTTAGTCTGGACAAGGGTAGAATAACAATTTGTGTATGATCTAGACGTAGGCTTACATAGATTGCAGACTCATAATTCATTTGTTTAATGCGTAATTCAAGAGGGATTACTAAGACATTAGAATTCTGATTGGGTTAAAGGGTTGAAATCACTAAGACATTAGGGTTCAACTATTTTATAGGAAAATAATGAATTGTCTGAACAAACGAATTAATTGATTATAAAATACAATACAGGAACATAAGGGAGGATCGGAGGTGAAGTGCATTCTGACTACATCTTTTTTCTAAATTTTTCATCAATACTTTCTCTCGTTCTTGATCTTTTCTTGCATGCATTCATATTTAATTGTTATTAATTTTCTGTTTTAAATTTAATTACTTTTAAATTCTGTTTTGAAATTCCAAATTCAATTGCTTTCTCAATTCAAACCAATTTTATTTTCCAACTTAAGGGGAATAGTTAAACTAGTACTTGGTGCATTAATCCTCGTAGGAACGATACTCTACTTATCACTTTATTACTTGAAACGAACGGTATATTTGCCGATTTCGCAACAACCATCATCATTATTATAGGAGAATATCTTTGATACATTAGATGTACAGAATTCGGCACATTTTTTTATAAATTTAAAAAAATTTGTAATGTGACAAAAAATAATAATTCAAAAGTAGTAAAAAAAATTTCAAATTTGAAAAAAATATATATCGATATATCTGATGTACCAAAAGTATTCTCGATTCTAGAAGCCAGTTAAGTGACCGTTTTTAATTAAATCAGTTTGAATATAAAATCTCTATTTATAGGCCGCGCTCCCATAGTGCAATCCAAAGCTATTTTTTTAACATCATTTTTTTTTTGGGTCATGGAAAGAGACCAAGGTCCAAGCCAAGGAACTATTATTATTTTTAATATAAATGATAATGTGTTCTTTATATTGTTTGATAAATTAATTTTAATTGAAAATTGCAAATGATTCTCCGAATAACTTAAAAGCATTTTTCATTATACATTTTTTTTCTAAAAAAATGATAGTTTTATTTTATGTGTTTTGACTTTCACTTTAGGA